GAGGCGTCCAGGTACGCGGCGTAGTAGTGCTTGGTCGCCGTCGTCGCCCCCGACCCCTCCACCACCCGCGCGACGGCTGTGCCGCCTCCGAGCACGCTCTTCCCTCCCAGCCGCACCGCCGTGAGGACCACCACCCTCGCGTCCTCGATGGCGGCCGAGAGCTGGTAGTTGCTCGGGTAGCTGGCCGAGCCGCCCGTCGTCTCGGCGGCGGGGTCGGGCACGCTGATGCACGGCATGAGAGGCGGCGGCGGCGGCAGCGGCGGCGGAGGCAGCGGCGCCGCGGCGGGCGGCAAGGGCGGCGTCGAGGGCGGCAGCGGGCAGAAGTCGGCGTTGAGCGAGAAGGCGACGGTGTACGCCCCGTACCCGTTCGCGCCCGAGCTGTACGCGACGGCCATGGTGCTGTACCCCGACCCCGTGTACGCGCCCTCCACGTCCACCGCGTCGAGGTCTCCGCCCGCGGACGTGACGTACGAGCCCGCGGCGGAGCGGTACCTCGCGCCGTCCTGCGTCAGCGTGAGCGCGCTGCCGAGGCTGACCGTGAGGCGGACCATCTTGAGGTAGGAGGCGTCCAGGAACGCGGCGTAGTAGTGCTTGGTCGCCGTCGTCGCCCCCGACCCCTCCACCACCCGCGCGACGGCTGTGCCGCCTCCGAGCACGCTCTTCCCTCCCAGCCGCACCGCAGTGAGGACCACCACCCTCGCGTCCTCGATGGCGGCCGAGAGCTGGTAGTTGCTCGGGTAGCTGGCCGAGCCGCCCGTCGTCTCGGCGGCGGGGTCGGGCACCGTCACGCACGGCAGGGGGGGCGGCGATGCCGGCAGAGGCGCCGCAGGCGGTGGCGGCAGCGGCGGCAGCGACGGCGGCGTCGAGGGCGGCAGAGGACAGAGCCCCGTGATGCTGTACGTCACGGACGCCGCCCCGTACCCAGCCGAGCCCGAGCTCACGAAAATCACCGCCTCTGTTGCGATCTATATATAGTAAGCAATCGCCTCTATCTAACTAAGGAGAGGCCGCGTAAGTAGGCGAGTATCGCGTACATTTTGCGGCTGACAAATGACGTATCGACGTATCGACAAAGACGTATCGCGTACATCTCCGCGTCTATCACCTCCCAACTCCCCGGTCCTGGGCGTGCGGTTACCGACTGCACTCCAAGTGCTCCATCCTGACCACGGTCTGACATAATGAGGTAGGTAGGTAGGATCCTGATGTGTACCTCTTTTTGGTGACCACACCATACCCTGCAACAGTCCGAACCCCGCCGATCGCGTACCTAGGTAGGTGGTCGCCCCACTGTTCAGCCTTTCGTAAATGGGGGGAGCCGCTCGTTGTTTGTCGCTCGCCCTCGTCCTCCTCCCGCCGCTCCTCGCCTCGGCGCAGCATCGCTGCCGGCTCGGCGACGTGCGGCAGCCCGACGGCAGCTTTCAGCTCGGCAGCTGCGAGGAGCTGCTCCTCTTTGGCGAGAGCGTCGGCGACGGCGGCGCGATCAAGCTCGCATCGGCTCTCGCCGGCAACACCAAGCTGCAGCTCGTCGACCTCTGGCACAATGGGGTGGGCGCCGCCGGCGCGAAGGCGCTCGGCGCCGCCATCGCCAAGAACACCGTCCTCAAGCGGCTCTACCTCAACGAGAACCCGCTGGGCGCCGAGGGCGCAAAGGGCATCGCGGCGGGCCTGGCCAAGGCGCGCGGGCTGCGCCACCTGTGGCTGACCCGCACGAACGCGGGCGACGAGGGCGCGGCTGCACTCGCCACGGCGCTCGCCGCGAACCACGTGCTGGAGGCGCTCGACATGTGGGAGTGCGGCATCAGCGGCGCCGGCGCGGAGGCCATCGCCATCGCGCTGAAGGGGAGGCACGACGGGCTGCGAACGCTCGAGCTGCGGGGCAACG